ATGACAAAAAATTTGACAATCTAAGCGAAATGGACAATTTTCGAGAAACACATAGTCCCCCAAAACTGGACTGGGAAGAGATAGAAAACTTGAACAGACCAATAACAACTAAAGAAATTGAAGAGGTAATCAAGACTCTCCGAGCAAACAAAAGCCCAGGCCCGGATGGCTTCACGGGGAAATTTTACCGAAAATTCGAGGAAGTACTAACACTCATTCTCCTCAAACTATTTCAAAAAATTAAAGAAAGAGGACTTCCAAACTCGCTTTATGAGGCAGCATAATTCTAATTCCAAAACCAAAAAAAAAAAAAAAAGACACTATAAGGAAAGAAAATTACAGGACAATATCCCTGATGGACATAGATGCCAAAAATCTGAACAAAATACTAGCAAATCGAATCCAGCAATACATCAAAAAAAATTATTCACCATGACCAAGTCGGATTCATCCCAGGGATGCAAGGCTGGTACGATATTCGCGAATCCATAAATGTGATACACCACACATATATAAAATGAAGAATAAAAACAACATGATGCTAGTAATAGATGCTGAAAAAGCTTTCGACAAAATCCAGCACCCATTTCTGATCAAAATGCTCAGCAATGTTGGGAGAGAGATAATATCTCAACATAATAGAGGCCATATATGAAAGACCTACAGCCAACATCAAACTCAATGGATAGAAACTAAAAGCATTTCCCCTAAGAACAGGAACATGAGAGGTATGCCCACTTTCGCCACTCTTATTTAACATAGTACTAGAAATCTTAGCCACAGCAATCAGACATGAAGTAAAAATAAAAAGGATCCAAATTGGAAAGGAGGAAGTGAAACTGCCATTATTTGCAGATGACATGATACTCTAAGTAGAAAACCACAAAGACTCCATCAACATCTACTAGACTTCATAAATTAATTTGTCAAAGTAGCAGGATACAAAACTAATATCAAGAAATCAATGGCATTCTTAACAACTAATGATGAACTCACAGTAAGAGACACTAAAAACTTAATCCCATTTACCATTGTGGCAAAAAAATTAAGACTCCTAGGAATAAATTTAACCAAAGAAATAAAGGACCTATTTGCAGAAACCTACAAGACATTGAAAAAAGAAATAGAGGAAGATATAAAAAAAATAGAAGCACATACCTTGTCCATGGACTGGAAGAATTAACATCATTAAAATGTCCATGCTACCGAAAGCAATCTATAGATTCAGTGCAATCCTCATGAAAATACCAACGACATATTTCACAGAACTGGAACAAATTTTTCAAAATTTCGTATGGAATAAAAAAAGACCCCGAATAGCCATAGCAATCTTTACAAAGAAGGACAAAGTAGGTGGGATCACAATACCAGATATCAGGTTATACTACAAAGTTACTGTAATCAAAATAGCCTGGTGCTGGCACAAGAACAAGAATATAGACCAGTGGAACAGAACAGAGAACCAGGAAATGGACCCAGGACATTATGCACAATTAGTATTTGACAAAGGAAGCAAGAGCATACAATGAAGTAATGACAGCCTCTTTAATAAATGGTGTAGGGAAAATTGGACAGCTACATGCAGAAAAATGAAACTATATCATCAACTTACACCATACACAAGAATAAACTCAAAATGGAAAAAAGACTTAAATGTGACTCATGAATCCATAAAAATCCTATACGAAAATGTAGGCAACAAAATTTCAAACATCATACACAGCAAAATTTTCATTGATACATCACCTAAGCCAACAGAAACAAAGGAAAAAAAATGAACACATGGGACTACATCCAACTAAAAACCTTTTGCACAGCAAAAGAAATAACCATCAAAATGGAAAGGCAACCCACTGTATGGTGGAGCATAATTGCCAATTATACATCAGATAAGGGGTTAATTTCCAAAATATATATAGTACTGATACAACTCAACAAAAGGAAGACAAAGAACCCAATTAAATATGGGCAGAGGAGCTAAATAGTCACCTCTTCAAAAAGGACATCCAAATGGCTAAGAGATATATGAAGAAATGCTCAACATCACTAATCATCAGAGAGATGCAAATTAAAACAACAATGAGGTATCACCTCACACCTGTCAGAATGGCCGCCATCAACAAATCATCAAACAAGTGTTGGCGAGGGTGTGGAGAAAAGGGGAATCTAGTGCACTGCTGGTGGGAATGCAGACTGGTGCAGACACTATGGAAAACAATATGGCATTACCTCAAAAAATTAAAAATTGAACTTCCATTTGACCCAGTGATCCCACTTCTAGGAATATACCCTAAGAAGCCTGAAACACCAATCAGAAAGAATATATGCACCCCCATGTTTGTAGCAGCACTATTTACAATAGCTAAGATCTGGAAACAGCCCAAGTGTCCATCAGTAGACGAATGGATAAAAAAGCTGTGGTACATATACATAATGGAGTACTACGCAGCTGTAAGAAAGAAAGATCTCTTATCCTTTGAGACTACATGGAGGGACCTGGAAAGTATCATTCTAAGTGAAACAAGCCAAACAGAGGAAGACAAGTTTCATATGATCTCACTTATTTGTGGAATATAATGAACATAAAAGTCTGAGAGACGTGGAAGTGGGGTACAGACTGACAATCCCCTAAGGAGGGTGGTGGTGGGGGAGAGATAAATCACAGAGATAAATCATGTGTGCATGAACAGTGGACATGGACAACAAACTGGGGAAAGGGCAGGGAGGGAGGGGGAGGGGGGAAAAAGGAGAAACATCTGTAACAAAAATTAATTAATAAAAATAAATAAATAAATAAATAATAAATGCATAGGCCTGGCTAGGTGGTTCATTCAGTTGGAGTAGTGTCCTGTACACCAAAAGGGTGGATTCAATTCCCATTAAGAACACAAACCTAGGTTTTGGGTTCAATCCCTGGTCAGGACAGGTACAGGAAGCAATCGATAGATATCTCTCTCTCTCTCTCTCTCTCCCTCTGAAATCAAAAAACATATAACTATGTAAGGATTTAAATAACTAATTTAAGTAAACACGTAAAGTTTCACATTAACTTGTGCAAGATCACAAATTTAATGCATTACCAGTTGGCATGGGTATTCATTTCCCAAGCATTTTAGACATGTGAGAGTTTGCTTACTTTGTTGTTATATACTCTATGCTATCAGTTCCTCAGCTCTATCAGGCCCAGAGTAACTCTACTTTCCAGGTTGGACTGCATGTGAGATATCATCTTCAGGCTAGGCATTACACAACAAGAAAAAAAGTGACAATAGTTAGGAACTAGTCAGAGATGGGATGGACTTTCATTGTGCTGAGTTCCTCACTATTGGCATTGTTCAAAGACCACTTCCCAGCAATGAAAATCATAGAAGAGATTTTAAATTAAAGAAAAGACTAAACTAGATGATCTCTAAGGTCCCTTCTAATGCTGAGTTTCTGTTATTTTATACTTAAATTCCATTTGATGCACTTTATGCCAGATACTAAATTTAACTTTCAGACTTAAATTACTAAGAGACACTTGTAATTTTTAAGGATAAAAAGAGTAGAAATTTTTTTTATCAGATTTAAGTATATAATTTTCTCTAAAGGCAGAATCATGTGATCTCTCAAGCTTCCATGCCAGTCTGTCTTAAAGCTATCATTTTTATCTAAAAGAGAGACATCTTTTACAAACAACGGCCTAATGACAAAAAGACAGACTTTTGTTTTAGTGCTTAAGTGGGAAGAGTGCTCATATTCAATTATACAAGGGAGGAAATAAATTTGTTAAAAGTACTTCACATTTTATGAACATGTAGTTATTCTTTTCAAAGATAGTATATATATTTATAAATATTTAATCACTGTTTTGAAAGATTTGAATTAACCTAGGTCAGATGTTTTCCTTAAAATAGAACAGTTTAATTTTATTAGGCACAAATATCTCATAGAGTTGGTTTTGATTCAACTGACTGTGCCAGGTTGGAGTAGTATTTTGAAAATACAGATAGGTATCTTATTTAGACTTTTCAAAGGTAGCTTCAATGTTTGTATAATCCAGTTATAGGTAACTATTGGACAGTTTCCATCTGCTATCTTCATAAGCTCTAATGCTTCAATAATCATTTATTGTTTTTAGGACCAACTCTGGCATTCACTAAACATACTTTAGCTTCACATTATACCACCTTCTCAGACTTCTTTGTCATTGGTAGTAGGTATTATAATGCTTGTTTCGTACTTCTTGAAATCAGTGTAGAGAGACATGAAGAGAGTTATGCAAGGTCACAGAAGAATTCAGTGTTAGAGTCTGGAATTAAACAATAGACATATTTTTTCTTATATATGTACATCAAACATTGTTAGAATAAATTCTGCATGATTTTAAATAAAAGCTTCATTTTATAATCCATATGTGTCAATTTATTTTAAACTTCTCCTTGAAAGTACACCACATGCTGTACAAAATGAGACATTACTTGTGGTTAATAATTCTCAAGGTTCATCATGTGCTTGATAAACCCATTATATACAGAATCACAACAAGACGATGTGACTTGAAATCTGAACTTTTTATCATTAAGACAGACGGGAAAACATCTGGTATAGTCCGTACATCAGAGCCACACAACACCCTGATTAATGCCACAAATGATATTGATTTCACAAAACTGGGTCAGGGACTAAATTTCAGGCAACGCCATTACGGTAAATTTTAAAAGGTTTAGATATTTGTAAAGGAAACATGTTTTATAAAGAGTAACAAACATTTATGGAGTTCCTTTAAAATACTGTCTCAGTACTTTCTTGCAATTATTTGTGGTAAATATTTTCAATTTAAAGATTAGGGCACTAAGGTTCAGAGAGATTTAATTTTGCCTAAGACAATGGGCAGAGTCAGGATGAAAACTCAGGTCTATCCCACTCCAATGCCAATAATATCACACTGCCTTCTAAACACTTAACTACTATTTTCAAAACAAGGACATTAAGAGGAAAATAATCAACCAATAACTTATTCGTTGGAAAGAAGAAACTTGATAGAGTTCCCCATGCAGAAGATTTTTCCAGAGATTTTCCATTAGGATTTTCATTGCTCCACAGAATTTGTTTGCTTTCAGACACAGAATTTTAGAACCCTTAATAAAAAAGTGAAATTAGTAATCTCAACACATAAGCATTTATAAATCTCTATGACCCCCTCCCAAAGTTAATAATGGAAAGTCTAAGAGCTACCAGATATTGTACTAACATCTCATAACAGTTTAGGTACTATTAATATTGAGAATGTCACAATACTTAAACTATAGGCCAACACACCCCATTGTTGCATAGTAAATTGATTTACAACAGTGATCTTGACTCACAAACAGCACTGATATTCAGAGGTTCAATCAATTAACTATTTGGAAGCAGTATGTATTCTAACTAAATCAGACCCCATCACAGACACTCTTAGAAAATATGTTTGCTTATTTATTTACTGATTAAAAAATAATAATAATAAGGCCTTAGGAGACACTGCAAAACCTTCCTATCTGTACTTCAAACAACCTGCTTTTAGTTTCATTTGCATGATTGAATCCCACATAAGAGTAAATTATATCCATTTTTGTTCCCATAACATGGACTTGTCCATATCATTAAGTATTCTCCAACACTATATTTAATAACTTCATCGTATTGCATTATATGGCTCTAATACAACTAAGTAAACAATTCCTCCAAAGAAAAGAATTTAAGTTGTTTAAAATTCATTGGTATTATAAAAGTAACCCTGGTACACTGAAGGTGGGAATGTAGACTGATGCAGTCACTATGGAAAAACATATGGAGTTTCCTCAAAAAATTTAAAATGGAACTGCCATTTGACCCAGTGATTCTACTTCTAGGAATATATCCTAAGAAGCCTGAAACACCCCTATGTTCATAGCAGCACTGTTTACAATTGCAAAGATCTGGAAACAGCCCAAGTGTCCATCATTGGACGAATGGATAAAAAAAGCTGTGGTACATATACACAATGGTGTACCATGCAGCTGTGAAAAAGAAAGATCTCTTACCCTTTGAGGTGACATGGAGGGACCTGCAGAGTATTATGCTAAGTGATAAGCCAGTCAAAGAAAGACAAGTATCTCATGATCTCACTTATATGTGAAATCTAATGAACAAAATAAACTGATGAACAAAACAGATCCAGAGACATGGAAGCATAGAACAGGCTGACGAATCTATGAGGGAAGTGGGGAGAGGGGGTGGGAAGAGTTTAAAGAATTTCTATGTATATATGCATAACCCATGGACACAGACAAGGCTGGAGGGGATGGGAGCAGGGTGGAGGGGGTAAATAGGGAAAGACGGGGGGACATCTGTAATACTTTCAACAGTAAAGGTAATTTTTTTTTAAAGAACACTGCATAGAACTCATAAATACAAAGAACAGATTGGTATTTGCCAGAAGTGGGGGTGGGGGAAGAAATGGGTGAAGGGGGTCAAAAGGTACAAACTTTTGGTTATAAAATAAGTCATGGAGATGTACAGCCTGGTGACTATAGTTAACAATATTGTATTGCATATTTGAAAGTTGCTCAAAGTATAAATCTTAAAGGTTTTCATCACAAGAAAAACATTTGTAACCATATATGGTAACGAATGTTAAATAGACTTACTGTGGTGATCATTCACAATATATACAAATATCAAATCAAAATCTGTTGTACACTTGAAACTAATATAATTTTATATGTCAATTACACCTCAATTTTGAAAAAAATAAAACAAAACACTGCTATGATTATCACTTCAGCTATATATTTTCTTTAATTATTATTTTTTATTGTTGAAAGAATTACAGATGTCTCCCCCTTTTTCCCCTATTGACTCCTTCCTCCCCACTCCCACCCCCCTCCTGCTTTCCCCAATCTAATGTCTGTGTCCACTGGTTGTACATATGTATATATGCATATAAGTTCTTTGGTTTATCTCTTCCCACTCTCCCATCTCCCATCTCTCTGAGCTATATATTTTCATATATTCATGAAAATTTCCTTAGGTTAAATTATTAAGGAATGCCTCTTGACCTTAAACACATTACCCTCCATCAAGGCTGCCCCCAGATACACTTCTACCAGTAGTGTGGACAAGTACCAGTATTCTTGTACCTTTTCATTGTTTGCCAGATTGATGGCCAAAATAAAAATATCTCTTTTGTTTTAATTTACACTTTTAGTCATCAGTGAATTTACATCTTTCACACATTTTTTTGCAGAGCAGAGAATTTAACCATAATTTGCTACATATGTTCCAAATATTTTTAAGATAGTCAGCTACCTTTATATTATTTATGGTGTTTTGGGAAGTTTAAAATGTTTTGTGTAATCAAGTATATAAATCTGTTCCGTTAGTATTTCTGCCTTTTGGGTCATGTTTAGAAAGACACTCCACACTTTAATATTTCCTTCTAATTTTTTATATTTTAACTTTTTAAATTTAAATGTTAATCGACTTAAAGTGTATTTTGGAGTATGTTATGAAGTAGGAATACATTGTTTTTCAGTTGTCTTAATACCATTTATTAATTCCATCCTTTCTTAGTTATGACGTCACCGTCATATTCTGTTTCTTAACTTTCTATTCCGTTCTACTAATCGATCTGTTCATACATCAATAACAGATATAATTTATTTTATATTGTTATATATTTTAATAACTGATCTGCAATCATTTCATGACTCTTCATTATCAAAATTTTATTCTCAACACTAAAAATTCTTTTAGAGGGACTTTAGAATCACTTTGTCAAGTTAAATAATCCTAGTCATATTTATTGTAACTATATTTACTTATTTAACATTCATTCAAAACACATTTATTGCATGTATGTCTCATGTGCAAGGCATAAATTCAGTTAAATTGTAGACTCATTTGGAGAGAATTGATAACTGTACACAATTTTCTCACCCAAGAGTTTCTCCATTCATTAAAGTCTATTTTATCTCCTTGAATAAGTTTTATAGTTGCATTCATACAGGTCCTGCACCTTTATAATTATAATTATTTCCATATATCATATATATTTTGTTTTTATGTGAATATGATCTATTTTACCACATTTTCTAGCTGATTACTACTGGTACGTAAGAAAACTACTGATTTTGTTTCAAGTATTTTCCAACTTACTATCTTATTTGACTCTTGATAGCTCTCACTATTTTTCAGTATCATTCTAGATTCACATAATCATATTATCATTAAATATAAATGGTCTGTCTCCTTTCTTTCCAACATTGACAGCTTATTTTGTTTTCTTCTCTCACTGCATTGCCTAGAACTTCTGAAACTATGTTTAATAACTATGGAAATGGGCACTCTCGAGTTAATCCTGTCTTTAATTGAAATGCACTAGTGTTTCTTCATTAAGTAACTTTGGCTGCTGTATTAAAATATATGGTTCTAAATTAAATTAAGAATGTATTCTTCCAGTCCTAGTTTACTGCAAATTTTCTGTTCCTGTTTTCTTTTGTATTTAATCAAGAATGAAAGTAAATGCTTTTAATATTTATCGCCATGATTCTTATTTTATTTTGCCTACTAATTGTTAAATATTAATATATTTTTCAATATTAAATATTCTTTCTTTTCTGAAATAGAGCCCACAAGTGCTAATACTTTATATAGGATTTGTGGACCTACATGCAAATGTGAAGTGTGTCTGCAGTTTTCCTTTGTGTGCTGTCTCTATAAATTTTGAAATAAAGATTATATCTGCTTCATAAAAGAATCTGGGAAGTTTTCCCTTTTTTTGCTACAATGAAACAGTTTAAACAGCATAAGAAATAATTAGTCTATTAAAGGTTTGGAAAAAGTCATCCATAAATAATCTGAGTCTGTAGTTTGTGCAATAATTTATCACTCCTTCATGCTTATGAGTCAATTTTAATTTTAATTTTCTTAGAAAATTATTCACATATAAAATAATTATTTGAATTTAATCATAAGAATACTCATAATTTTACATATCCTTTATATCGATGATAATATCCACTTTCACATTTTAATGAGGCCAACTTCCATACATACCCACTTGAATGTATATTCTCAGTCTACAGAGTACTGTATTAGATGAAGTTTATTATTTGAATGTGAACTTTATTATACATGTTAAACTAAATTGCATTAATCAAATGTTTGATATCGTTATGTTTTCTGTAAATGACTAAAAGATATAAACTAGTCTCCTACCATGATTGCAATTGTGTCCATTTCTAGAATTTCTAAAACCATTTGTTGTATTTATTTTACCACTATACATAAATGTTCATTCATTACTTTCATATTCACTATATATTACATACCTTGACAATATTAAAAATAACCCAGTTTGTCCTGTTTGTTTTTTGCTAACTCCTACTCATTCAAATAAATATGTATTTGTCTAGGTTTTGGAGATACATCAGTGGAGCTTAAAATACAGTGGAGAAAACAGACAAAAATTAAGTAAATTAACAAATTAAATAATTACAAACTGTAACGAGTGCTATGAAGGAAGTGGTTACCAACAAAGTGTAAGGTAGGGAACCTATTTTAAATAGGTCTGGCCTCTGAGACTTTACTTAAACAAAAAAAGAAAAGTTAAAGAATGAGAAAAAGCTGGCTACCCAAAAGGCTTAGAAGAGGGCTTTCAGCTCAGGAGAAAATAAATGATATTAACATATTGCCAGGCACACTTTGTCAGATCAGCGAGCTCACTGCCCTACTCCATAGGGAAAGGCAGGACTTGAGTTCTGTATTGACAATTGTTCTCTTGCTGCCCTCCTTCCCTAATGTCCTTTCTACTACAACATAGGAAGAAAGTGTCGGTTGGCACTAGCACACAGCAGCCTGAGTCTTCACTCTTGGCTATCTTCTGCTGATGGCATGCTCTCTGGGGATGCTCCAGGATAGAGATTGATCCCCAACTCCAAGTACCCCAACCTGAAGCCCCTGCCTGACAGAGTTGGCCAAAGCCTGAGGTGAAACACAAGTTGCTGTAACTTCTCTCAGTAGTGTCTGGCCTGGCTTTCTTTCTGTCTTTCAGAAAGCCCTCCAAATTTCTGGCATATCAATGGTAGAAGGGATCTCTCTTGGTTGT